TTCCAGAATCAGCACAATTTTCCGCATCTAAAAAGGTACTCCCCAGAAAAATCCGATAGAAAACGCATTTTCGCGCCGATGTACTGTGTTCTTTATAGTTTTAAAATTCATGCACCTTGCGGTGAACTTGGCTAATTAAACCAGTAGAACAGGATTGCCGGTGATTCTCTATCCCGGCAGTGTGCCCGAAAACCGCTTTTTTCATACGAGCAATATGAAGAGAACACACAGTTCTTTGTGAGACAGACAGAAAGACAGACAAAAAGACAGACAGACAGAAAGACAGTTAGATCTAATGCTAATGGATCTAATCCTCAAAAATGGACATGAATGAAATGAAATGACATGAGAATGCCTTGACTTGAAAACTCTAATATTGATAAATCTTTTAAATCTTTCAAATCTTTCAAATATTTCATGCTTTGTTAAGTAAAATATAGAAAACACTGAAAATTGGACGCTGAAAAATGCGATGATTAAAACACGGCCATCCAAATGTAATTACATGGATGGTTGTGTGAGTGTGAATAAAAGAATTGAAGATAAAACCCTAAAAGGGGAAAAGAGGAGACTCATTCGACGAGTAAAGAAAAGAGAACGAGAAGGACATTTTCGGTTAATTAGATGGATGTTTAGAGGAGAGGAGATGGAGAAAAGATTGTTAAAAGAAAGATATCAATTATTATTTAGAAATTGGGGAATCTTGATTGGAATTTTTTTTCTACAATAGCTTATTTTCTTTAACAATGATAAATATTAGGTGGGTGAAAAAAGTAATCCACGTTTTTAACGTTTATGCGGTATCCATTTGTCCAACTTTTTGATAAAATTCATGGCATTTAAGCGTTTCCTTACGTTACAATTTAATCGTATCACAATTTAATGTAAGGCCTATTTCTGAAGAGGTTGAACGAGGGTTTTCGAGAGACAGCATCTTATTTGGTCATCCGAACAGGTCTCAGGGCGACCGCCACGTGGTTCATCGTCTGAGCTTTCATTACCACCCTTTGAATCGTTGGAACTAAAACCTAGCGACATCATCAGTAACGGCGTCTTCGCCAAACGCATTCAAATTCGACGTGCAGCCTCCGCAGCTTTCCAACCCATTTTTGAACTCATAAAGCAAATTTGACCGAATAACGATACTTGTGTATACCATTTTCAAACTAAAATGAAAGTAGTTTATTGTCGTCCTTTTGACAAATGAATATATCATTCGAAAGAGGAAAAAATAAGCTTTTTAAACGATATATATACGTTAACAAAAAATAAAAAATTGTTTAGATATATTTATTTAAACAAAATAAAAATAAAAAAACGTGGATTACTTTTTCACACACCTAATAGTTTTTTCAATTCATAAAAGCTTCAGTGCAATCATCTATTAAGACAAAAATATTAGGTTGCCGGGAAAACTAATGCGAACTCTTAACTTGTGCTCTTGGGAAAGTACTGGCAGAAAAACAGAGAAGACCGCGATAGTAACAGAGAAGCAGAGTGTGTTTGCTTACAAAATCATCATATTCGAAAACATTTGTTTATTTGTTATCAAAAATGATGGAACAAAAATTCCTTATTCGAGCTGCTTTACTCTATGACTTTACGCTTGGAAAATCTGCCCAGAATCGCATAATTCTATCTCAAAGCATGGCGAAGGTCAAACTATCATTAACAAGGACGAGGAACAAAAATAATTGAGTTCTGCGAAGTCTTGGCGGTTCCCTACCTAGAGTCACATTAAAGGTAGAAAATTAAGTAAAGACATTCCTAAATTTACTCATTTCAGGGCCCTGAAAGAAGAAATCTGCTTTGTTCAATCTTACCGCCTGTGGCGATCCGCGGAAATTCAACTAGAGAACAACGCAATTCCCCTAGCTACGAAATTTCTTGAGCTTCTTCTACAAGCTATAGACTACAAGCTATAGACTTTGTTATAACCTCGATAATAGACGTAAAAAATTAGCTAATTTTTGACAAAAACCCATTATAGGAGGCATCATTCTTCGATCATCAAATACTATTCAATACAATGGCTAAAGACGAAACTGAATGGAACAAATGTGCTGATGAGCTAAAGCAAAGATATTAGGTTGGCGGGAAAATAATGCGAACTTTTAGCTTGTGCTCTTGGGAAAGTAATCGCATGAAAAACAGAAAACCATGATATTAACAGAGAAGCAGAGTGTGTTTGCTTACAAAATCATAATATTATTCAAAAACATTTGTTCATTTGTTATCAAAAAATGACGGAACAAAAATTCCCTTATTCGAGCTGCTTTACTCTACTGACTTCACGCTTGGAAAATCTGCCCGAGAATCGCATAATTCTATCTCAAAAGCTTATGGCGAAGGTAGTATTAGCGAAAGCCAATGTTATCGATGGTTTTGTGCGATTTCGACGTGGAAACGAGCCTAGAAGATGAGCATCACGAAGGACGTCCTCAGAAAGCTGGATGAGTCTCAACTTTTGCAATTTATCGAAGAGATCCCACTTGCACCACTCGGGAGTTGTCTGAAATGTTCAATGTTCATCATAAGCTCCATTGAAGACATTTACATTTGATTGGAAAGCGAAACAGATGCGGAAAATGGGTTCCACATGAACTGACCCTCAATCACAAAATTGCCCGTATGAACACTTGTTCAATTTTAATTCAAAAATCAAAAGCGCATGATTTTTGGAGGCCAATTGTTACTTCTGATGAAACGTGGATATTATATGATAACGTTAAGCGCAAGCACCAATGGCTATCACCAAAACAAGCCCCGGTTACCACGTCAAAACCTGGTCTGCATGGAAGAAGTTGATGTTGTGCGTATGGTGAAACTTTCGTGGATTGGTTTATTTTGAACTGCTCAAACCGGAGTAAGCTCACAGCTGAACTTTACAGTGGGCAGTTAGAGCGTGTGAATCAAGCTAATCGAAATCTCGACATGACACTTCAAAAATTTGGTTTTTGCATGATAATGCAAAAACCAAATTTGACACATTTTAGTGAAATACACTCTATTCTTAAGCGGTGAACCCTATGCAAAATCATGCGTTTTGTTTCATTTTATCAGGGTAAAAGCATCAGCATGATGAAACGAAAAACGAGACGATGAAACGAAGGCGACTGGCACACCAGGACAAGATTCACCGGCTGATCGATCGATCACCAGTCAAACAGAGCTCATGTTCTATTCTTTGAATGTTTCTCTAACGATTCCCCGAATGTTTCCCCGAAAATCGATCACCAAATCAAATGATCTAATGATCAAATTCAAATCTGACTATAATTCTTCCTTAGAGCCATTTTCGTTCTTTCTCACCAAAACTCACAGCTCAAACAATCTCATTCAAACAAAAGAATCAACTCTTTTTTAGCTTTTGTTTTCTCTTCAGTACATACCTACTTTTCACTTCCACAGTAACATTCTTAAAAGTCTAACCCCCAAGTCTAACCCCCAAGTCTAACCCAAAATTTAATCTACTTTGTACTCTCGTCCGTTTTGTGTTTTGCTTTTAAAAGATTTCATTGCTTGTTTCTTTATTCTTATAAAATAATTGATATTCAAATGTTTTATTATGACAAAATGACAGAATGACAAAGAAAAAGTTTCATAGCAAAATTGTTTCATGATCCAACTACAGGGTGGCTAATAAGTATTGTCGCGTGCTTGAACGCGTGTTACTCCTCGACGTTAGTTTCAAATCTCATGAGTAACGTACCAAAATGTTGCTAAGAGTCTAGGGAATCTAAATATATGGATGAATTTTTGAGACAATCACTGTGAAAGATTTAATTGCAATTTTGCTCTTCAAAAAGGTACTTTGCTCGAAGGGAATTCCTAAGCTACCCATACAAGTAGAATTTAGGGCATAGAATCGAAATTTTGGCATATCAGAGCTTGTGGAACCAATTTGAAAGACAAAACGGCTAGGTCAAATTACAGAAAATTGTTGATTTTTCTCTTTGTATAACTCCGTCCGTTCGCTTCCACAAGCTCTGATATGCCAAAATTTCGATTCTACGCCCTAAAATTACCTAGAAAAACAACATTTGGAATAGAAATTGGTTAATATTAGCTTTTAGAGCTTTTTTAAAACGCGAAAAAAGGTGCGCTAATGGGCTAAGTGCGGAAAAAAAGGTGCGCAAATGTCCGGGTGCGCAAAAAAAGGTCGCATTTGTCCCCCCCATTTAACACAAAAATCTACTAATTGCACAAATTGCAAGAAATGGACCCAAAAAAAATGAGAAATTTCCCTGAAAAACTCTACTTAACTCCCTCTGGAGTGAGCGAGAACAAGTGCGTTGTGATGGATGAAATCGGCTCAATCGGCTTCGTCCGCATCATTTTCATCATTTCCACAAAAGCCTTTATCATTTCTGAAATCAAGTTTCCATAAATCGTTTTTGAATTGTTGTTTGTTTTTGAATCAAATTTCTGAAGCAAGAAAACTGAGTGTAGTTTTTTATGTCATGGAATTCTTATCGCAATTTTTAATTGGGAAAATTTGGTCGAAAAATTAGTTTTCAAGCATTATCGGGAGCATTTTGCCGATTTTTGACATTTTAAAAACTATATTTGAAGCTATATTTGGAGCTATACTTGGAGCTAAACATGTCCGAATCCAAGAAATTCTCGGATTTGAGGAAAATGTTCGAATCGGATAACTGTTTCACGGGAGGAGAGTGCTGAGAAACCGGCAGTGCCTCGACATCGTCTTCTCAACTCAACCGTCAGCAAGTATTCAGTTCTTGTCGCTGAGACTTATGAAATAGCTGATCAATTCAGCGTTCAACCACAACAATCAGAAGATTTCACTCCACAGCCCGAACACTTCGCCTGGGGAATCGATTGATCAATTGACGGGTAGAGTGAAGAAAAGTTCTCACTACGTCCAGAATAGATCGTCGTTCTCAAGGCCAGCCACTCAAAAAATCGATTACAGCAAAGAAGCAAAGCTGCTACCGATTGCTCCAAAACCGAAAATTGAGCAAAAACCGAAACTCCTTATGAATCAGTTATCAGATGCTCCAAAAGTAATCTTGGACTTAAATCTTCGGAAATACAATCAGAAGTTTTCTGGAGAAATCTTGGAATCTGTGAACATTTGCCAAGAGCAAGAAGAGCCAGAAGAAGATATTCCTTTGCCGATCAGAACCGCGAGTCGACCCAGCCGGAGTGTTATCTTCAAGGTAACTTCGCCTACTAAAACTACCATAATCCTAGCTCTATCTTTATCTAGTTATCTACAATCTATCCAGTTACCTACTATCTAGTTACCTACTATCTAGTTATCTACTATCTAGTTATCTACTGTCTAGTTATCTACTATCTAGTTATCTAACATCTATCCTTTATGAATCCTCACAAAATCAGAAGCTTAAAAGATTGGAGACAAGATTACTGTAATGTAACAAGATTACGGTTATGAAAATAGAGAAAGATTACTGTAATGTGTTCCTTTTTGGTAATTCTAAAAGTGTCAACTTTTGAAAACTAATTTTGCAAGAGGATTACGGTAGGCTTTAAAATATTGACAAATTTTAGAAATAGATAAAGTAGAGTTCGTTTAGTCTTTCCCGGAAATCTTTTCCGGCAGAAGTTCAAAAGATTTTTCAAGTCAAAGTCGAGAAGATCTCAAAGCAACGATTGAGTTGATGGTGGGTTTCAGGCTGGAATTATGATATCTATTTAATGGAGCTAATTCTGGACTCAATTTAAGCCAGCTATTAGTCTTTCTAAGCTTATAGTTAGACCAAAACGGCTAAATTCTTTACTAACAATTCAGCCATCTCCACCCTCACCGAAGCCTGATCAAGCCGATCATTCAATGGGACAATTGCCTCCAGAACAAGACTCAAATTGGGTAAAACAATCGTTATTTATAAAACAAACAAATATTTATAAAACAAATATTTATACAATTTTTAGATAAATCCCTCAAATCAAATCAATGATAAAATTGCTGAGCTCGACAATGAAATCAAGGATTTTGCTGATTATTTAGAGGTTCGGATCTTGTCCTCTAGTTATACTTTGAGCTGAAAATAGAAACGCACTCTTTCCGGTCCACTAAACTCTTCCTTTCCCTGGGAAAGAAGGATTCAGTGCATCAGAAGGGATGTGTTTATCAAGAATTCAGTGCATCAGAAAGAGTGCAACAGACAAAATTCAGTGCAACAGATTTCCTTTTAGCAACAAGTCGAGAAAAGTTGCACAGTTGATGCGATGACGAAACGAGTCGAGCAGTTGACTGAGAAACTTGGAGCAAAAATCTTTCTCCCTCCCCGTTTTACCAAAAGAGAAATTTGAAGCAAACAATGTTGTCATCAAAAAAATTGATAATCTTCTCATTTCTTATAAAGGAGTCAATCGACGGGATCTCTACTTGCTCAAGGTTTTTCAGCTTACAAAAAATATTTCATAAACTATTCAGGATGTCATGATTACCTTAGAAAAAGAATTGAAACGAAAAAGCTTCATAAAAGTCGTGAGTTGATTCATAGTTGAAGTGTATTTTGCTTAAAAATGTCGAAACACACTTTTTCCTGGTGCACTGAACGTTCTAAGAGATTTTATGAGGATTTTTGTAGCAGAAAGGGTTTGTTTAGACATTTTTGAACTTAAAATATACCTTGAGAATGAATTTTTAGTTTTTGTTCAGGTGGGCGCATTAAAGTACTCTGGGAAAAGATCAGAAAAAAACATTTTTAGGATCACTTTTTCAGAATATTGATAATATTTAGTTTGTTGAGGCTATGTTGACCTTTGACTTTTCGAAGTTTGAGAGAGATCTTGATCAGGTGAGCTCACTAAAAAGATATTCAGCTGAGGGACTGAATATCTTTTAAAGAGGTTTTAAAGACGTTTTAAAGAGGTTTTAAAGAGGTTTTAAAGAGGTTTTAAGGTTCTTTTAAAGATCTTTTAAAGCTCTTTTAAAGTTCTTTTGGGAGTGGGACAAATGCGACCTTTTTTTGCGCACCCGCACATTTGCGCACCTTTTTTTCCGCACTTAGCCCATTAGCGCACCTTTTTTCGCGTTTTAAAAAAGCTCTAAAAAGCTAATATTAACCAATTTCTATTCCAAAAGTTGTTTTTCTAGGTAATTTGAGGGCATAGAATCGAAATTTTGGCATATCAGAGCTTGTGGAACCAATTTGAAAGACAAAACGGCTAGGTCAAATTACAGAAAATTGTCGATTTTTCTCTTTGTATAACTCCGTCCGTTTGTCTCCACAAGCTCTGATATGTCAAAATTTCGATTCTACGCCCTAAAATTACCTAGAAAACAACATTTGGAATAGAAATTGGTTAATATTAGCTTTTTAGAGCTTTTTTAAAACGCGAAAAAGGTGCGCTAATGGGCTAAGTGCGGAAAAAAAGGTGCGCTAATGGGCTAAGTGCGGAAAAAGGTGCGCAAATGTCCGGGTGCGCAAAAAAAAAGGTCGCATTTGTCCCACTCCCAGCATTTGCTTTAAAGAAAACTTTGTTTCTTCGTCAAGATTTTCAGCTAATCGCCTTTCAGCTAATCAACTGAATATTTTCAATAGTTTGGATTTAAAATCGTATTTATTTAATCGGATTTATTGTATTTATTGTATAAAATCGTATTAAAAGATCGATCAATCTTGAAATTGATTTCTCAACACTTTTCAGCAACATTTCACAATTCCTAATACTTTCAAAAACGATTTTTCAGCAACTGATAACGAAAACTTTCAAGTTACAGATCTTCAAGAAACTCTGGCTTCTTTCTTCTCCAAATTTCTTCGATGCAGCACTTGAATTCTCACAAAATTATCTTGAGAGCATGAAATCTGACACCGATAAAGGTGAAGAAAAAGAATTGGAAGAGATTTACGTAACAAAGTGGATGAATTTCCTAATCACAAATCAGGTAAACGTAAACTTTCTTTTTACGCAAACAACCAGGTACACTAGACTTTCTTGTCTACTTTGTGCTCAAAAAAATTAAACACAAACTAGCTGGCGCATTGAATTCTTTGATTTCCTTGTAGCAACAGTTGAATGTCAAGAGGAAATGTAATATTTTGTGTCCTAGAAAGAATGCGTTTCTATTTGTGTATATAGTACTGGACAATGAAATATCATATTTGAAAAACGATCGTCACTTTCGCGCGTAACTGTAACTCCCTTGTCTTTGAGTTTAAACTATTAGTGTTATACATTTTTTCAAGGCTCTTTTCAAGGGCTACACAATGGTAATATTAATATTTAGAAATATGGTAAAGACAAGGGAGTTATAGACGCGCGAAAGTAACGATCGTTTTTCAAATATCATATTTCATTGTCCAGTAGTGTAACTTAGAGATCGGTCTAACTCTTTTGCGCTAGAAAGGATTCGTTTAAACTTAAATTTTAAACATAAAGTACAAAACAAAGAGAAGTTTTAGAGCGTTCAAGAGCACACCGCGAGCCTCATCTTTCGAAGAGACTACAGAAAATTTGAAGTGGAAAAATAAGGAAAAAGAACAAATAGTTTTTGAAGAGGCTCTCAATCGACGTGATCGACTTTTTCGGAGCGCCAGCGAAGAAATGGAATGAAAACTGAAATTGAGAGATTTGCGTTCAGAATAATGAACCTCTTATCGTCATTTATCTATATTTACATTTTTACATTTTTATAACATCGATTTGTTGCTGATGAAAGAAAGAAGCAAGAAAAATGCAATTGTAATTGTAATTGTAAGTATTGAATTGTAATGATTGTAAGTATTAAATTAAAAGTCAGGAGTTATGCAAAAGTTACAAAAAAGAAAGGAACAAAATTAAAGAACAAAATTAAAGGAATAAAACTAGAGGAACAAAATTAAAGAACAAAACTAAATCACAAAACTAAAGGACAAAATTAAAGGAACAAAAGCTAAAGGAACAAAGCTAAAGGACAAAGTTAAAAGGAACAAAACGAAAGGAACAAAACTAAAGGACAAAATTAAAGGAACAAAACTAAAGGAACAAAATTAAAGGAACAAAATTAAAGGAACAAAACTAAATGAACAAAACTAAAGAAACAAAATCAAAGTAAATTCTCATCTTGTTTTTCTTTTGCATCAAAGTCATTAAAAGTCGATCTAGTTATTGAAATTTAAGCAATAAGTGAACAATAAAGACTCAAGAAACACTGAAATATTTTATTAGGAATGATTAGCGATAAGAATAACAGCATGGTAATACCCAATAATTTTTTCTACATAAGCCGACATGTTTCTTTTGGTTTTTCTTGAGCAGCGATAGCCTCTTGTCGACGACGCTCTTCAGCTTGGCGCAAACGTTCGGTTGCTTCTTGACGAATCTGAAAACTTGAGATTAAAGCTGAACTAAAGATTTCTACCTTAAAGATTTCAGTAGTACGTTCAAAAACCTTTATATTTACACACAGTTATATGAAGAAATATAAGCTGCTTCAAGATTGTAACAGATCTAGCGCGTAGTGGCTTAGTGGTTCTAAACTTATCGGCAGTTAGGGATGTTCCAAGTCATAGTCATAGGGTTTCCATTCGGATTGAGCGTGTAAGACAGAGCTGATCAGATCCAAGTTTAGCTTTTTTGTCTTATTTGAAGATTCAAAGCTTACCCTATCCTCCGCACGACGGTGATTCTCAATTTCAGTTCGGCGAGCATCTCTAGCTTCCTCTCGGCGCTCCCTTTCCTTCCGCTCCTGAAAGACTTGGTTTAAGAAATAGAAAATAGAAAGTAAAAACATATTTACAATATCTGATTATCTGTTTTCTGATCTATTTCTACCTGTCTGAGCAGTTCCATCTCGACTTGACGCTGATGAGCGCGCTCGTCAGCAAGGTGTTGCTCCCGTCTCTCCCGCTCCTCACGATCAGCTCTCATTTGTTCCATTTGTCTAAAAAATGAAAGTCTTCCATTTCTATAATCTTTTAGCATTCATAAATACAAAAATAATCATTTCATAAGAAGCATTTCTTAAATAGAAAGACAAAGAGAGAGATGGAGAAATCCTATCCAAGTTCTAAAGCTGATTGTATCAATAGAGTTGATTGCAGAAAATCAATGACCTTTCCCTGCCTTCAATTTCACTATATTGAAGTCAATTCTAATCTGAAAGCTTTAGAAATTGAGCTCTTATTCTTACCTCATTGGAGTTTTCATTCATCTCTTTCATCATCATGATCATTGGATGCATTGCCTGGTGCTTCTCGGTCGATTCGCGAGCCCGTTTCTCTTGATCTAAAATGGATCTTTTCCAAAAAAGAATAGCCCATTTACCCAGTTTCTTTTGCATTTCATTGAGCTCATCTTGTGTTTTTCTTTCTCATCATTGAATTTCCGTTGTGTTTCTTGTTGTTTCGCACGGATTGCCTCCATTTTCGCCTTCAATTTCTCCATATTGAGATGCGTGCGTACTTGAGCCTCAAACTCGTTTTCGTGCTTCTAAAATCAAAAAGTACAGTATGTTTTCTAAAAGTCATTTATTTAGAGAAAACTACCGTAATCTTATCCCCAGTTTTCATTCAATTTTTGTATCATTGATTGAGCTTTGTGATTTCTCATCGAATGATTTCAAAATTTGACTGATTGAATGTTAATTAATGGTTTGATTACGACAGTTTGTCTAAAAGGTATCTTTAGAAATCGGAGTTATTCTTGGATATTGTTAAACAAAAAAGTATTAGTGATTACTACAATACTACAGTAACAAGAATTAGTACTTACTCTGAATTCAACGCTGACAGAATCCTTGTAATTGTCGAGCATTTGCGCAAGCATTTTTTGATCAATATTTGGCAAATTCATCGACGCTTCACTCAAAAATTCAGCCTAAAAATCAAAAAGAATTCATAAATGTTGTGAAGTTTCATTTTCCTTCAATACTAACCTTACTCAGCTCATAGCGACCTTGCTGAAGTACTTGAGATTTCTGCAAAATCCCATCCACATCTTCGAGTTTCTTTACGATTGAGATTTGCTAAAATTGTTTTGAATTGGATATAGGAGAAGTTCACAAGTGCAGTAGATTCCTTTCAGTCATTTATTTCAGTCATCCCTTTCAGTCTTGTAATTTCCCCTCACCTCTTTGAGCAATCTTGCATACTCTTCACCAAGTTGAGCAAACATTTCCCGTACTTTCACTTGTAACACCATGATCGCATTATCATTTTGCAGATCGGTGAAACGAAGCTAAATATTTATTAAGCTAACTTTCTTTTTGTTTTCATCTAAAATCATATTCAGCTTACCGTAATCATCTCTTTAAGCAATTCTCTCTTGGAATCGATCAGCCCGAGCTCGTTTTGGAAATCGCTCACGGCTGAAAGGACTTAAAGAGTAAAAACTTTGTTTGATTTAAAAGTCTTATATATTTTAGCCTCATTTACCATTTTCAAAGTTATCCATCGCCATTGGCAAAGCGTTTGCGTGGCGCTCATTGACGTAGTTGATCTTTTTTTTCTCTATTGCCGAGAAGGGTCTCCAAGAAGTCTGGCTAAATAAGAATTTGAAAATAGGTGAGTTAAAGGGTAAGAGCCTACAGTGCCTGGCCTACAGTACCTACCACACTTACAGCCTGCATCAAACCTACCTACCCATCAACCCTATTCAATCATTCACAAACCTTCATCTCTTTCTCATAAATCTCATAGGATCCATTAACAGCATCGGCCATTTGCACATCTCTGTAGCGTTGCCGGTTATTTTCCTCTTTCTCGTCGCATCGGTCCTAAAAGTATCAAATTTAGAGTACATTTAAAGTTCAAAGTATCATATTTACAATACTTTTTGAATAATAAGTTTTGCTTCAAAAACAAACCAGCAGTGACCGTTGGAAATTCTCGAATTCCTTTGCTTTTAGCTCGGTTGAGCCGAAAAGCGGATGGGTTTGATACTCCTGAATGAGATTTTAGATAAGTAATGTAAATCTTCAATATAATAATCTTTTTTCTCTCTAAGACTTAAAATATATTATCTAGAATCAGTTTTGAATCTAGATTTTAACCTTAAAAGTCTCTTGAACGATATGCTGAATCGCCTCGTTGTACTCGCTCGGTTTGATCGGGCGATGGTTGTGTAAACGAACGAGCTAAATATAGAAAAGTAATCTGAGTTGTTAATTTGTAAATAGGTGAATTTTAATTTATCATAGATAAACTTGAACTTGACCCACTTGTTCGTAGAGTTTTGCGAAGGTTTCATTCGAGGCGGATCTCGCTTTCTCGAAGTAGAGCTGAGAGGTGGCCTAGAATAGGAAATTTATCGATTTTCTGCTCACTTTAGCTAAAAAATCTTGTACTGTAACTGTGGCATTGTGTAATTTATGCTTACAAGTACAAAGATTCTATACAAATAGTTAACAAGATCTCAGTTTCAGTCTAAAGCGATTAGAAGCGATCTAATGATCTAACGATCTGAAGTGATCTATCGCTCTAACGATTTAACGATCTAACGATCCACTAGATCTATTATTAGATCTATTAGATCTTACAATCTGAAGCTCTAAGATCTAAGAAAGATCTAACGATCGTAATCGAGATTTTGCAAACCATAGCTGTAGCCAAGTGGTTAGTGCGCTTAGCCTTGAGCTTTTTTGAAAGCCTAGCGAGCGAGTGGTTCGAACCCGGACTTGGCCAAAAGCGATTTCCAAAACTTTTATTATTCTTGTAACTTTGTTTTGGATATTTATATTAAGCAAATCTATTACCTACATTTTTTTTCAGATTTATTCAAGTTCTTGTGACAATCATTGAGATCGGCCGGAGCACGTAATCGCGCGGCTTCTTTTTTACTTTTCTGTCTAGCATAAATTAGTGTTTACATGAATATGACTATGCTGTTTGCAAGATTTTTGACTTTAACAAGAATTTCTTTACAAAAACCAAAAGCCTTCGCCTGGTCCGGGCTTGATCCAAGCTCAGAAGACACAGAGCCTAGCGGGCTAACCACTTGGCCACGATGACAGATCTTTCAGGGACACAAAATCGCTTGTTACTCGAGCGGTCAAATAATTCGCAACACTCAAAAGCTGGCTTTTTTGACACAAACAAACTTCAAACGGATTTAAATGGAAAATTTGAATCCATTACACAAAAACGGCAGAGATATTCGGAATCAGCGAAAAATTTGCCACAAAATAGGCTTCAAAACTCGGTGGTAAATAAACAACGTTCCCTAGTTAGGCTTTGATACCAAAGCAAAAACCCACTGCGAAAGCCGACCCAATCGCTTTGTGATGGTTGTCTCTGATGTGCTCGACGAGGTTCTGAAGAATGAAAATGCCTTACTCTAAGATAACTTTATTACTTCGTGAGGATAATGAAACTATTCTATTAGCTTGATCTATAAGACTAGTTTCTCTGCTAAACAATCACTCAATGCAAACCTCAACATATTGCTTCAGCGTACTCCCAGTCAACGGCGTTCCCATCACCTTTTTTGCTACGAGATTGTTGAGAACGTGATTAGCGGCTCCACAAAGACCCATCAAGAAATCGGATCCGCAATCTGAAAAGACTCAGTTGGATTTGATTCAACTGGAACTGGCTTCTAAAAGTGATTCAACTCGTTAAAGACTCGACAAAGCTGACCGCCCGCTCGAATCTCTCCACTCGCTCGAAGAACGTGCTCGGATGGACGGGGTACCATGTAACACTCGACGCTCTCAAATGCGTCAAACACTCCATCCATCAGACGAAGAAGTTCGGGAGCTCGACGAGTGCCAGACTAGAAAACAATCATTTTTTGATGCACTTATGGAAACACATGATTTCTGGTGCATTGAGTTCCTGTTAGTAAGACTTTCTAGAGCCCACTTACCCTCAAATAACTGATGTATTCTGGCTGAAGACCAGTCTCGAGCGCGTCTCTCATCATCAGAATGAAATGCTAAAAATGAAATTTAGAGTTAATGGATAATTAGCTCTAAATTTCAATATTTTAGGATTACCTGTCCAACTTTCTCATCGGTTTTTTGACTGAATGAGATGAAAACGTTAAGCGCGTCCAAATCCTGCGCGTCGATCTGGCTTTTGTGTTGAAGATCTGGATAAAAAGTAATTTTTTGGTGCTTTAGAGATCACCTATTATCTATGCTATTTATCTGTGCTAGGAAAACCTATTATCTATGCAAACGTACCTTGATCGATGACATCAACAACGAGATCGCAAAAATGACGGCTGAGTCGGCGATGTCGCTGCATGTGTCAAATGTGCCTTGAGTGTCGATCAAAATGACGGCAATCTAAATGAAGATTTAGATTTGAATGAGTTTAAATTATAAGATTAGATTAGATTCTACCAGATCTATTAGATTCAAATGAATAAATCTACTAGCCAAGGTTCTGACTGGATTCAGAGTTCGGTTCAAGCCTCCTGCGGGCTCAGAAACTGGCCTAGCTACAGTAAAGCCAGGTCTCACTTGGTCTGGCTGCAGCTCTGACCAGAATCTGGTTTTAAAAAGTTAAAAAAAAAAACGTTTTAAACAGTTTAACTTAGTCTTACATCTTTCCCCTCTTTATCCTTCCTATCAAAGACTTTCGGCCAAACCATGATCCCTCTCGTGTGCCGTTCGTAGCCTGATTGGAAACGGATACCGCCGTGACCACTAAAACAAAATTTTATGTAAATTTGCATGTCTCGTTACTGATCAAAAAGATTTTTGATTGTAAAAGTTTATCTCGACAGCCTCAAGCACTGTATCTGTTACCAAAACTACACTTGCTTACCGTAGTCTATTGTAACTGAAGCTTACTGTAGCAATAGTATACTGTAGCTGAAGGATACTGTAACTAAAGGATACTGTAGTCGAAGGATACTGTAACGGAAGTATACAGTAGCTAGGGGATGCTGTAACTAAAGGATACTGTAACAGAGTACTTTATCTAGCTAAGCATGTAGCTAGTTCTAAATTGAGCTTAGGTTTAAGCTTAGCTAGCTGAAGTTTTCACCCAATGTGCTCATCGTCTTTATAGCCGGCTTGATCCTTTCGCAATCCGTCGAGAAGCACATTTGACCAGAAAGTCTTTCCTTGACGAAATTTGCCAGCTGTGGAGATGATAGCCACCTGGATTTATATAGTTAAATCTTTTCTATCCATATGGTCGTCATGGCCGACTAGCTAGGAGCTCTGTATCTTCGTCGAAAGGTCAAGAGTTCAATCCCGCCGGCTAGATTACTCACCGGTCGCTCTCCAATTTGTACACAAAGTGAATCGAGGTTTTCTCTGTGGAAGACCGTCTCTCCCTCTTCGGTGATGTCAAAAAGGGGAACTAGTCCTTGCGAAAAGATAGCCTATGAACGATAGCTGGGAAAGAATTGGTTTCGTTTGGACTTTGTGCTCATTTCGATCTAAACACTGTCTCAGCAAGAAACAAGAAGCAAAATAGCACTACGAGAAATGTTTCACAAAGTCCACACGATTTGAATAAGTTCTACTTACCTCAGGCTCATTCAATTGTTTGGATTCTGGATGCAAATCACTTTCTTCAAGATTGATAATCTCAATATCAGTTGAGCTTTCCGAGTGATCCGGTGAAGATGCACTGTGAGATGAATGAGTTTCGACCAATTCAACACTTGATCCAAAAACTTGACTCTCTCCAACCGAGACTTGAGTCTGAGTCAAGACTGGTGCTTTCTAAAGTATAAAGTAAAAGTCTATTTTACATCTTAATCTTTTAGCTCTGAAACCTGACTTTTGAAGTGATTTAAAAACTAATAGCCTTGTACAAAGTGGACAAACAGATAAGAAACTTGCTAAAAGTGAAAGAATACAATTACATTCATAAAATAACCATATAATACTTTATTTAGTAAATGTAATAACATTATTACAGTATTGTATTTGTTATAAAGATGAGACCTGGTTCTCTAAAAGCCCGCGAATCCTCTCCATGGCTCGATCTGGATCGGAGAGTCGACCGATCTCAGAAAAGAGAGACTAAAGGTTGAAAATGATCTGGGTTTTTGCCAGTTTACTGTATGTTTAATGACAATTATCTAATCAATTTTTTGCTTCATTTCTCAAACTGATTCATGTAATGATCAGATGATTCGACCAAAACATTTCCTGTTTCGACAACGCTATTTTTCTTGCGGCAAGAGAATTGGTGATGAGCTGTTTTGGCTGGGGAAAAAGGAACAAAGAGCTAAAACTGATACAGTAATAAAAGAGAAGTAAACTTTGGAATTCAATGAACTTACAGTATCTGAAAGTTTCAATCAACTTAGCTGAGAATTGTAAGTTTACTGCTAATTGATTCTGGTTGAATAAATTCAAATGAAAGATTAGAATTGTGAAAGAATCTACTAGCTTTTCATAATCACGGAGTTCCAATCAGGTTCAGCTTCAGGCTAGCATTTGACAGAGCTCACAAAAATCAAAAAAGCAGGAGAACTTGCGAGGCTAGGACTCGATCCCGAGCAATCCCGAGTACTTTGTCAGGGACTTTTGTGGGTCAGATCAGAACAATTCAGCCAAGATTGAGCCTGGATTGAGCCTATCAATCTAGTGTGAATTGATCTGTACCTGATCTGTACCAAAAACAGCCCAAATCCTATTCCCGATCTTGATTTCAACCCACCTCTCGTGCCGCTTCTCGGCAATTCTCACGCATCTCGTCAGTGGCATCAGCGTAGTTTTCAAGGAACTGAAAAGTGGGAAATTTTGATGAAAATGTGATTTCTAAGCTATTTAGTTGGAAAACTTGTTTCAGAGACTGGATTTTTGGCATTGAGCACTTCTAACCAGGGATGTCCGGATCCGGATCTCTACACAAACATGCAAAAAACGAATCGACGACTACGCGACACTCCAATAGACAGTTCATAGTACTGTCGCGTCGTCATCTTTTTGTTCTTCGTATGCTTGCTTAGAGATCCGGATCCGGACATCCGATCGGATCCTTCTAACCTTTAGCTTCTCTTGGAACATTTGGTAGAGCTCGTCAACTTCTCGATCTTGAAGCTTAGCATCCTAAAAGAAATCTTAACTTTCTGACCGAGGAAAAGCTAAGAAAGGAAAAGCTACAATATTTACCGTAAAATTCGACTCGTAGTCATTTTCGGCGCTGGTGAAACGATTATGGGACATTCTCTTCAATTCTAGATACGTTTACAAGTTTTTCAAAGCACAAAGTATACAAAAATAGCTATTATCCTGTTTTAAAATGAAATAAAATCAAATGTAAAACTATTTTTCTTTAAATAAGAGAATTTTTTCACTCAAACGATACCAAAAATTGATCGGTTTTGAGAAAGAAAAGAGAGAATTTTGGATTTTTATTATGCAATAAAAGTCGAAGACAAATGATTAACAAAACTTTAAATTTATACAAATTTTACAAATCTTTTTACTAAATTCTGATTCAATTAGGAATTTTCTAAAAAAATAGAGCGATTTCAAACTTTAAATGCTATTTCAAAGTCGTTATCAAAAAGAATTTTATCGAAAATTTTGTGTTGCAAGAAAATGAGTCGGTTTGGAAAGAAAGACGATTGCGAAAATCGAAAATGTCTTTTTGAAGTTCAATTTTTTTTTATTTTTATTACAAACAGTATTAAAAATATTAATTTAGATTCTAAAAGAAATTAAAAAGGAAATTTTGAAAGCTAAAATAAAATAAAGAGCATTTGTTTTCAAATTTTCATTTGAACATTTTTGTTGAGCAAGAAAATTGAATTTTTCTTCTCTTTTTGTAAAAATTCTCTTGCCAACTCAAAAAAGATATTGATTTATGAAATTTTTGAAAAAGAACATATCTATTTTAAATTTTTATAGACTTTTTATGTTTTTGAATGCATAATTGATTGAATTGCGTCTTTCTTTGAGCTTTTGTGCAAATCCGGATGTTTTTTTGTGTTTTCTATTTTGTTTCCTTTGTATTTTCTTTTCTATTAGCTAATTCGCTTTCTAAAAAGCATCTATTTTAGATAAAATATCGTAATTATAAAGTCAGTTTCCATTCAATTAGCCAAGATTTTTGTGGAAAGCCAAGATGGAAAAGGGAATGGTCTGGCTCAAAGCTCGGAATCGACTGGAAATACAGTTCCTGACATAGAAACGTAAATGGCGAACAAAATGCCACAAAAATTAGCCGCTAATAGCCACGGAAACGCGAGGAAACTAGCATGCAAAATCGCAATTCAAAACTGATTCCATTATAAGGCTTCACTTGCTGCCGACCAGAGATGAGCTTATGACCTAGTGGATAAAGGCTTAGCTCTGTGAAACGGCGGTCCCATTTTTGTCCTAGGCCATGAGCTCATCTCTGGTCGGCAGCGAGTGAAGCCTTATAAAGGAACCAGTTTTGAATCCCGATTTTGCATACTAGTTTCCTCGCGTTTCCGGGCTATTAGCGGCTTATTTTTTGCCGCATTTTGTTCGCCATTGCCGATTCTATTTTATGAACTGTGTTTCCAGTCGATTTAAGCCCACACCATTCCCTTGTGAGCCTTGATTCTTCATCGAATCTGACCAAAATTGAGCTGATTGAGTGTAAAGTGGCGGTTTGATTACGGTATTTTGTAAAAAAAGACGTTCTTTAGAAAACGAATCAACTGATAGACAAGTACAGATCTTTGTTTTATGTTTTTTGTCAAATTTCAGATGTCCTATGAGGTACTCAATCGTTTACAAGACCTTAACGGGTATCAACCACTAAACTGCGTCAGTTCATTAAAAAAAACATTTATTGATACGAATAATGTGATAAAAACAATACACAAGCACAACCCTTAAGCCCTAATTGTAGAAAAATCAATACAGATGGGAAAAAGAACTAATAATCTAGCCGACGGGATTGAACTCTTGCTCTCCCGACTACGATACAGGGCTAGCCAGTCGGCCATAGCAGCAATCTGTCTAGATAATAAATCTAGTTAATAAGTTGAAGATCTAGATAATACAGCTAGAACGTATCTTAATATTCAGAACCAAGAAAACGTGCTTCTCCCTTTGGTGACTTTTGAGGAAGACGAGATTCACTTTGATGAGCAGATTGCAAGAGAAACTTTCGCGAATCAAGTTTATCATGGAAAAAAGGTTGGAAGTTGAACTTTTTCTAATTATAATTAAGAATAAGAGAAATTTTTACACCAAAAGTACAACAACACCAAGAATTTCTTTCTTCTCACGATTTTAAAAGATCTACTAACGATGAAAAGCTTACAGATTAGTCTCGTGACTGTAATGGGTCCGTCAAGGATGGGCAAGAGTTTCTTGATGTCATTTTTGACTGGTGGAATGAAAGGAAACAAAATTAGGTTTGTTTTGAACGAATATTTCACCTCTCATTCCTTCAGTGGTGCTTTTCAAAGCGGCTACGAGCGGTACACAGAGGGAATTCTGATCTTCGTCAATCCGATGATCTCGAAAGATGTGAGTTGCCTTGATTACAATTTGTTTGACCTGAATTGGTCCAACCCTGTCTTGGCTTACCCTTGGCTTGATCTAGTTCGGTTTCGTCCAATCAAAGCTAGATCAAGCCCTAGTTTTGATCTGGAGTGGCTACAATTGTTACTCAAACTCAGTCCTGTACTGGCCCAGTACTTGACCCAGTCAGAGCAGAGTCTGATTTCCAGGCCTATTCTAGACCTTTAGTCTATTCCCAGACTTTCAGGCTATCCTAGGCTTTCAGACTATCCTTAGGCTTCTGGGCCATCCAAGGCTTCTAGGCTATCCCTAAGCTGACCTAGTTCTAGTGATCAGGTTGAAGCATCTCTGGTACAGTCCGCACAATCCAGTTCTTCTTTTTTAAATTACATTAAGCATAAGATTCCTGGCGGCAATGGAATAAGTGTCTATATAACTCATTGGTAGAGCGTTCGCCCGAAAAGCTACAGGTCGCGGGTTCGGATCCCGGCGGAGACGATTGTTTGCATTTCCAACCCAGATTTTGTTCTGTTGTGTATTCCCAACCGAGTGTGTCCAACCTAACCAAGTGCATAGTGCAAGCATCTATTCTGAAATTCTGAAATTCTAAAATATTTGGGTTTTGAACTTTGTCCGAGCGCTCTTTCACAACTCTTTTCCAAAAGGCAGTTGTTTTTGTGTTGAAGTGCTGAGGGAAACTTTCCCCCGGCTTCAATTTTACAGCTCTGATAAGACAGATTTGTGCACAAGAAATACTCAGTAAAGCGCTTGGCAGGAAATTTTCTTGCAAACAAAAACAAAAATGAATTTGAAATAAAGAAACATTTTCAGGGAACACACGTGATTTTCTTTCTGGACACTCAGGGGACATTCGATTTGAAAACGGCGAGGAATATCTCGGCGTGGATCGCTGGGTTTAGTCTACTCATCTCTGATGTTCAGGTTTTGTGAACATCGGAACAGTCTACTCATCTCCGATTGGAAAACTGTGAAAGTCACTATTGTAGACGTTGAGATCCAGCAATTATAGACCTTGAGAGAAGCCTTAAACTAACAAATTGTTATGTAAATTTCATTCTCGACAATGAAAATTCCTGAAATTTCAGCTTTATCTATTTTGTGATTTTGATTATTCAAGGAGCTTTTTTTTCACTTTTCAGATTGTTAATCTTCGAGGAAATATCGGCGGTGATGATCTTCATGATTTGAATATGTTTGTTGAATCAGCTGCGGCTTTTAAGGAAGGCTCAGTGGCAAAGGTAGGATGGACGATGGTATTTTGAGCGTACAGTCTAGTCGATTGTTAACTGTTTCGCTGATAACTTGGTGTAAACTCAAAGACAAACTATACGATTATAGTCGTTCAATAGCCCTGAATCTTCTCTTGAAAACTAGTACAAAGTTGCCGAGAACTTTCTACTTTAAGCAAAAGTGCTTAAAAGGAGTTGACACCAAAAGTAATCGTCATTAGTTATAAAGAATCATGAAAAATAATCATCATCATTATCGCTGTGAATGTGTGAACCAAATTTAGTGGGTAAGAATGTACGCGTTTACAATAAAACTTACAAGACCGTTAGTATTTAATAGTATTATAAACATCACAGCTACCGTAACCCATTTCCAAAAGCGTCACTTTGATGACACCATCCCGGTTTCATTACCGAACTCTAGCATGTCAGAACGACAGCCAGGATCGATGACAGCCACTATTAAACACAAATAACAGCCAGCACTCCAAGATTTGAAACTTTTAGCGAAAACTTGTACATTTTTAAAGGCTTATCGGACGTTTAATCCCCCCCCCCTTTCCCATCGTAATCTAACTTTGAGATCAAATATCTTGGTGTTAGACTTTTCAATCTGTAAATGATTGGTATCATTGGATGCGCCAAGTCTTTCTCTGTCGATTGGCACAAAAACTATTTATATTGAACAGCGAAACACCAAGAAATTTGAGCTCAAAGTTAGATTCCTGATGGGAAAAGGAGGGGCGCGTATTAAATGTTTCACAATCTATTTAGAGTCTAATTTTCGTGATTCGCGATGCGGCTGATTGGAAAGAGAGCGATTTTCTTGAGAAATTATGGGTATTGGGATCTCATTTTCAAATTTTAAAACGATAAAATTCCAGAAACAAAATGAGAAGTCGAAAGAAATGAAAGAAATCGCTGGGTCGTTGAAACATCGCTTTATAAATGGAATCGATTGCGTTTGCGTGGCGCCAGTTTCGGATCGGATTCGACGAGCTGATCGAACGATTGAGTTACAAGAAGAGGGTATTGTAGTAAAAAAGCATTCTTTAGAAAATAGAACTAAGACTAGAAAATAGAACTAGCAGAGCAAAGTTTTTAGATCAAACACTGATCCAATGCCTTAAACGAGTTCAACAATTGATCTTTGAAAAGTGTCAGCTTGAGAGCAAAGCTCAACTACAAGCTCCTATCGAACTAGCCAAAGTTTGGTTAAGAAGAAATTTTGTAAAGCAAAGTTTAGAAAATCACGGCTTATCTCCAAGACGATGCACCGGAGCTGAGACCAACTGTTCAGGTTTTTCAGGCCAGGATTTGTACGTAATTGCAAGGTTTAGGTGATTCAAGAAGCCACCGTAATCCAAGCAGTAAACAAAGCATTTGATGTCTTTGCGAAAGCAATCAAGGTATTCTTAGCCAAAGAAAAATGGTTCTTGCTTTCCTTTCTGCTTTGAAAAAATGCTTTCCGGGTATTTTGAATGAATCGTCACACTTTAAAGGTCAATAATTTTATCCAGACCTGGAACTGGAGCTTGAGGACTTGAACTTAAACCTGGTCCTAAACCTGGAACTGGAGCTGGATCTGGTTTGAATCCAGAACAGGAACTGGAGCTGGAGCTGGACTTGAGCCTAGATCTAGTTCTAAGCCAGAAACAATATTATTCCTAACTTCTAATATCATTATATAGAAGATATTTCAGACTTTCAAATGATACCAAATACAGTTTATTTGGATAATCTAGTACAGAGAAATCAAAGTCCGAGGTCAATCTAACTCGAGTGCCTTGCCGCCTGGTTTTCATGGAAATGAAAAATCCAATCGAAATTTTTTTGGTATCATTCGAAAGCCTGAAATCTCCTTTATAAAACTATATATAAAGTTAGTTGAATAATATCATTTCTGGATAAAATTATAGGCCTTCAAGTGGGACGACTCAAACAACGAAATTTTCAACATACCCGGAAACTTTCAAAATAAAGCTTTACTTTCAAAACAAAGCCAAAAGACTTTACTTTATAAAAATATTTCAGACTTCGACTCCGGAAACTTTGTCAATGGCTGAAGCTTTAGGGAAAGCTGAAGTTCATCGAAAATTGGAAACCCTGTTGCTGAAAAAGGAAAACCTCATTGCTGAAGCTCACGCTTTGTTGGATCCAAAGATTGAGGTAAGAGAAAAAGTATTTCAGACGAAACATTGCCGGTTCATTTTGTGACTGAACTGGGTAATTCAACGACTTGAAATGGCTTAGTTTACCCAAGTTTACCTGTTAAATTCAGTTTCCGTCATTTATACGATTTTTCGAATCTTTACCCAACTAGAGAAAAGGGGAATTTACATTTATTTTTTTAACGATGTAAAAGTATTTTGATAGTACCAAGAGATAAAAAAAACAGTTTTTTTTACAATAGGAAATGATTCTGGAGAAGAAAAACGAGTTTGCTCAACTGAAAAAGGAGAAAGACGAGTTGAAAGCGGCTGAGAAGTCTGCCCAAGAATTTAGAACGAAAATTCACAAGGTAGGTCTAAAAATTGATACTAAAATACTTATCCTAAGATAAAAATAATTTTCAATCAACATTTACAAACCTTTCAAACAGATTTCAACTCTAAAAGAGGCTTTGCACTGGGAAAGGAATTCAATTCTTGAGAAATACGGTAGCTTTACAATGCCCTCAACGACCATTCAGTCAATAAAGGTAACTGTTCAATTTTACTAAAGAGTTTGTTATCATTTGCTTCAGGAAGCGCTGAGCACTAAAATTATCACTCTTAAATCGCAATTCATTGAAACTCGACTCAATGAGCTGAACAATGAGCTCCGAGCTTACTTGCTCATGGTTTGTCAGCTTATTTAGCCCTAAACTTTTCAATTCTTTAAATATTTCAGACCAGCTTTGACAATGTTCCAGAAGAAGATCAGATCAAAGTCCACATTAAAAAAATGCTTGAATCTTTCAAAAAGGAGTGCTTTGAAAATGCTATCGAAAGTGCAGAGTTTTGCATAATCGAGGGAAAGGTTCAAACCACTTTGGAGGTTTGAAATGGTATCAAATTACTGTAATCTTGTCTTGTTTTAATTCCTAAACATTCTTGATTAAGGTTATGTGAGGATTAGCCTCAGATATCGAAAGATTTGATAAAAACTAACAAGATTACGGTAGTTATTGCAAGTAAAGCGAGCTTGTGGAATGTTTATTCCTCTAGCTAAACTGTTTCCTAAAATTTCTCCTTTATTTTATCTTTTTAGAAAACGGGTTTGATTTGCCGGAGCATGCTTGCCTCAAAGAAAATCGCAGAGATGAAAAAAGCTGAGCTTGAAGCTGAATTGGCTGCCGAGGTCCAGGTTTGAGACTAATTCTAGTGAAACTTGGCTCACTTTAGAAACACGATTCCGCAAATTATTCCGATATTTCTTCTGATTCGGAAAATGATCTAGAGGAAGAGTATGAAACTTGTAAAACGCAATCAAATGGTTCTCTAAATGTGCTGGATCTGATCAAAGAGGAAAAGGAAAAAGAAAGTGCTGAAACTTCTTTAGAACTAATGGAAAATCATCGACCACCGCCTTGTTACAAACCTATTCCTAAACCCTCGAAAGAAGTTGAGTTGAAGAATGAAAGGAAAAAAGTGGATGATTCGGGAATGGAAAAGGCAAGACAAAGAATCGAAGCTGACCGAAAGGCAACAACCAAACACCAAACAACCAACAACCAACAAGTAGATTCACGGAGGTTTGTTAAAGTCAGAGCTTTGACGATACTTTTACATCTTTACCCCTCCAACAAACTAATATGCATATTGATCTTTGATTTCTTACTCTATCATTGAATTTTAGCAGATTTTTCCTAGATTTTAGATCTAGGATCCTATTTTTTGAATAAATTCAAGCTAGAATGAATGAAGATAAACCTAATAAAGCCATTTATATTAGGGTGGTGCAAAAGAAACTGCCGATGGGTAGCAGCTCTCATTTCAAAGCAGGTCAAAAAAGCCAAAATATTGTTGTCATTTAGTGCTTCATTGCCAATCAACTTGCCACGCACCAACTCACCAGATAGGTTCAAAGAGAAAAAGGAAAAAGAAAGTGCTGAAACTTCTCTGGAACTAATGGGAAATCATCGACCACCGCCTTGTTCCAAACCTATTTCAAAACCCTCGCAAGAAGTTGAATTGAACAATCAAAAGAATACAGTGGATGTTAATGTTAATGGAATGGAAGCGATAAGACCAAGATTCGAAGCTAACCAAAAGGAAACAGCCTATGCTAATGAGGATCGAGTAGATTCACGAAGGTTTGTTAAAGTCAGAGCTTTAACGGAACTTCTACATCTTTGTCTCGCCAACGAATTAATATGCAAATTGATCTTTGACTTCTTACTCTATCATTGAATTTTAGCAGATTTTTCCTAGATTTTAGATGGTTTTTGAATAAATTCGAGCTAGAATGAATGAAGATAACCCTAATAAAGCCATTTATACTGTTTTCCGAGTACTAGAGAGACAACTAGAAAAAAATTGGGGAAATTTACATTTATCTTGACGGGAAAGCGACGCAATAGTCCCGCTTTAGAAGATCATAGTGAAAACAAAACAAAAAGCAAAGTAAGTGGCCAAAATATTCTCTTCATTTAGTGCTTCATTGCCAATCAACTTGCCACGCCCTGACTCACCAGAATACGGTTTAATTTACAGCTAATATTGTCACAAACATACTTCAGATGAAATCTCCGACACAGAGATCGACCAATTTGTCTCGAAACCGCTAGATGATGACGCTGTCCGCGAGATGAACTTCAAGTTCGGCGTTTTGAAAGCAATTCTAGAGGTTGAGCCAATTTTGTGCAAAGAAAAGTCACGTTTCAGCAAATCGATGACGAAAAAGAAAAGCAGAGACATTTCAAAGAGATCTACCAGGAGTATGCGGCGTGGTGTGAGGCTCGAATCGACTCGATAGTCATGATGTACTTTGTGCGCAAATTTCACACCGAGTGCGCCCTGTACATGCGGGAACACCATGGAATTCAGGTCAATGTTCGGCAATGCGAGGTTTGTTTTCATTGAGAACTCAATGATTGGATGTTTTGAAAAAATCAAAATGTTGAACTTTTCCTCAAGTGAATATTGTCTATTATATCTTTGACTGTTTTTGGATTCGTTGTGAATCCATTTCCGGAAATTGGGTCATTTCAACCGGACCAGGCCAGGTCTGGCTTTTAACGGGCTTACAGACAGGCCTGTCAGGAGATTTATGAGCTGGGTCTGCAGCAAGGCGAGATCCAGTAGCCAGTCCAAGACCTGGACCCGGGTTCACCATCACCAACTTGTGAGGACTTAGGACTTGCAACTTGCAACTTGCGAATTTGCGAATTTGCGACTTGCGAGTTGTGACTTGGGATTTGCGACTTGCGACTTGCATGATTTTTCGAAAACATATGACAATCATATGTCTTCGGGATTCTTGAGTATATAGGGTAAATGAGTATGCTGATCACGAATTTTAGGTCCGTTTTTAAAAAATATTACTTTTTAACGTCATTTTCAGTGTTTTTATGTATCTCAAGTCCCCTTATTGGGTGACTTGCAAAAGTCGAAAGATCTTGCAAAGTTTCGGAAGTTGAATCTGGCGAGATTTTGTTAACGAAACCGACTTGCGACTTGCGAACACGCAAGTTTAGTTTATGAACCAGACTTGTGTCCAAAATCTTGCGATCTTGCGGATGGTGAGCCCGGACCCTGGCTTACAGTTGTTAGCTCATGAACCAATTTTTTTTATGACCAGGCCGGAGACAGACCAGAATCAAAGCCAGGACCTGGATTTTCTGCAGGCTCCCAATTTTGAAAAAACAAGGCTTAAAAAAGTCTAATCTAAAATCTGGATACAGTCATGTAATTTATCAAACCGAGCTGCTATCTCAACTTTAGAATGAGATCATTCGTCGTACGGAGGACCCGAGATGGACGGGCGCGCAAAGGCTCAAGCGAAAAGTGTTGCACAGACGTCAAACGAAGGTGAATTGATCAGATTGGTTAAATAGAGAAAGCTGAATTTAGCCCACTAAGAAGAAAATTTGTGCGCAAAGGGTCGGAGATGTGTTCAACGAGTTGTTGGCTGAGGTTGGTGCGAGATTTGTCAACTTTATTGTCACTTACATCATGGATTTTCCACAAGTCAATAAGCCAGTCGAAAATGCTAGTGAAGAACATACTTTCCTGAAGTTATTTCAAAACTTTTCAACTTTTAGGAGTTTCGAAATGTGCTCGCGTGTGGCCCATTGAGCATTTCAAAAATCTCGGCACTCATCGAATACTCGAAAAGTAAACGCGACTTTTTCTCGAAGACTCTTTGCAAGTATGACAAATATGGGGAATTGCCTGGACTGCTCGAGAAAGTGCTCGTCAACAACTGGATCTGTTTCTTTTACGATATGGTGAGTCGCTAATTACCGGTACAACCAATCAATAAGCCCATACCAGTCTGGATTCTGGGCAGAATTATTTCAAAGACATATTCCGCTGTCACTTTTTCATGCTTACATGAATAAAATATTGAAATAAAAGCGATTTTCCCGGGGTTGGCCTGGCTTGGTTTTGAGGACTCGTTGAGGCCGACATTGGCATAGCTTAAACCTGGCCTGGCCTAGTTTACAGCCCTAATGATAGCTTTTATATTCAAAAAGATGACAAGGACCTTGACCAAGAACCCCAATTTTCAGCCACACAAAGGCTTTGGCGAGAGGGACACGGTAAACGAGTACGAGCGAGTACGCAGAGATCTTCCGTTAAATGTTCCGCATGGGACCCACCTCACTTTACTTTGCGATATAAAAGAGTGGTTCATCGAAATGAAAAATGTTTTTTGTTTTGTAAAATAGTTTCCAAGAATTAAATTCAGAAGCGAGAACGGGAAGAACGGGAGCGAAGAGAAAATGAGGAGAAACAACGACAAGCCGAGATATTGAAGAGGCTGGAAGTTGGGAACCCATCGAGGAAAAGATTCTCTTTCCCGAATTTTCCAACCATCTGCAATTCAGGCAGGAAATTGCTTAATAACTAACATTGTTATTGGGTTGATGGGTATGAAATGTCGCTAAAAATAAACAACTGATTTATTCAGTCTTTTACATGCAATCATTATCAATATTTTCCATTATTTTGGATGCCTTGAGATCATTTTACTGGCAAAGACCAGATGCCTTTTTTTGTAGGAAATATTTTGGTTTTAATGCAAATTAATCCGTAAGCCACTTTTTGAAACATCATATTCAAAATCAAACGTTTATTGATCAAATCCTTGCTCATCACTCGGAATCAGTAGTTATCAGAAGGTGCAAGATTAGGGCTGTATGCAGGATTGGTCATCATCCCCATTGAGTTTAGTTTAAAGCGAGTCATCTTCGAAACGTGCGGTCTAGCATTATCATGTTGAGTTTTCTTTTGAGATCTTTTCTCTAGCAAAGATTTGACTGACTTGTCTAGTTGCTTTGACTATTTGATTGAGTTGAGTGTGATCTTGCTATTCAGTTCCCAGGAGATGGGTTTTTGAAATTCTAGAACACCGAGAGCATAAACTTTTTCCAATCCACATTTGGCATAACGTTCAGTTCGGGCTTTTCCCCCTTTTCCCATTGACGCTTTCACTAAAAGTTGAGAGTTAGAATTAATTTTCATCCTTTTTCACAAAGTAAAGAATAAAAACGATTTGCGCCCCCATCAAGAAAGATAAGCGGCGCTGATTGAAACGCGTTTTAATTTCTGGATATCTGGTACGTCTGTTAAGTTTTTTAAGTCAGTCTGTTGTTTGTGTAAAGTCATGTCGCATCCAAGTCTCTAATTTTGACCCAAGGTTATCCAAATTTTCGACGATGAACAACGAATAGCTTTTTTGCTACTAGGAAGGAAGTCTGTTGGTTTGAAAAATTTCTAGCAACTTGGTATTATCCAGCTGAATTGCTGGATGACTCCTCAGTTTGTCTTCGTTTATCCCCAGAACAAAATTTAACAAACCAGTTTGCACATGGAGCTTCTCCTTTCACATAAACATTTTTAATATTTGCTGAACACTAGAGGCCATTATGTTCTGAAATAATACAATTGTTAAAGTTCCAGACTTTAGCCAGTAAAAAATCTAAAAACAGTTCTAAAATTTAGCCAATAAACCAATATTTGATAAGAAAATCCCTGTAAATCATCATTTTATAGTTACCTCACTTGGAACGACCTCACAGTATCAAGAGCGTCCACAAGCCATACACCGTCACCAACCAGGGTCAGGATCGAATCAAAGAATTGACTCTGGCCAAGAAATGGAGAGATTGGGAAATCGAGCCGGGCAAATGCAGGATTTTCACCATTAAGCAATCTTTAATAAATTTTTGAGTTTACTGTTTTGGATGAGATTTCGATTCGGTTTCATCGATTTGATGTTATTTTTCATGTATTTATTTTAGTTTTATTTCTGTTTTTAGCTGAAAATATTTCAAGATGAGCGATCTGGACAAGAATTTATCGGTAAATGACTATTTAAACAAAATTTGAATTCATTTTAGGTTTTGCCTACGATTGAAGATTTGGCTTTGATGATTGATGATGAGAAATTGAGACAGGAAACATTGTTGATGATTGAAGAAGTGATTTCGAGAAAGGATTGGAAAGATTTGAAAGATGGCTTTAGGAAATCATTGATGACCAGCCAAAGAAAGCTATGGAAATTGAGCAAGATGCGGAAAGAGACGAGTTGTGGAATAAAATTCCAACTCTTGGAGAAGTTTCAACGAGTAGAGACGCATCTCTTGGTCCTTCAACTGTGGTTATGAGGTAAAGCCTTGGAAATATAGTGAGATATTATCGGCTATAACTGATTAGGCTTGTTCTATCTGGACTCTGAAACCAGTCTGATTCAAAGACTAGGCCAGCTTAGGCATTGCATAGTAAAAACAAAACTTCAAAGCAGGTCAAAAAAGCAAAATATTGTTGTAATTTAGTGCCTCATTGCCAATCAACTTTCCACGCCCCGACTCACCAGAATACGGTTTAATTTACAGCTAATATTGTCATAAAGATACTTCAGATGAAATCTCCGACACAGAGATCGACCAATATGTCTCGAAACCCCTAGAAGAAGACGCTGTCCGCGAGATGGACTTCAAGTTCGGCGTTTTGAAAGCAATTCTAGAGGTTGAGCCAATTTTGTGCAAAGAAAAGTCACGTTAAGCAAATCGATGACAAAAGGAAAAGCAGAGACATTTCGAAGAGATCTACCAGGAGTATGCGGCGTGGTGTGAGATTCGAATCGACCCGAAAGTCATGATGTACTTTGTGCACAAATTTCACACCGAGTGCGCCCTGTACATGCGGGAACACCATGGAATTCAGGTCAATGTTCGGCAATGCGAGGTTTGTTTTCATTGAGAACTCAATGATTGGATGTTTTTGAAAAAAATCAAAATGTTGAACTTTTCCTCAAGTGAATATTGTCTATTATATCTTTGACTGTTTTTGGATTCGTTGTGAATCTATTTCCGAAAATTGGGTTATTTTAACTTTAGAATGAGCTCATTCGTCGTACGGAGAACCCGAAATGGACGGACGCGCAAAAGCTCAAGCGAAAAGTGTTGCACAGACGGAAATCAAATGTGAGTTGATCAGATTTTGACCATATAGTGAAAGCCGAATTTAGTCGACAAAGAAGAAAATCTGTGCGGAAAAGGTCGGAGACGTGTTCGACGAGTTGTTGGCTGGGGTTAGTGCGAGACTTGCTAGCTTTGTAACATTTAGAGTAGTGGTCAAAAGCTTGGACTCACCCATTCGCGACAGCTTAAAAGGCTGTCATCTCGTTCATTGTCTTTTCACTTTTTTTATTAGGGTGTCCCGAATGAAAATACCCTCAACTTCGATTGCAAGTTTTTCGGTGTAGCGAACAGCTTCGTTTCGCGGAATTTTTTTCCTGCTAAAGAGTGCTGCATGGACCGAAACAAGTGGTAGTCGGATGGGGCCAAATCCGGGCTATATGGCGAATGAGGCAGAACTTCCCAGCCCAATTCCTCGATTTTCTGCTGAGTGATCTTCGCGGTGTGGGGTCGAGCGTTGTCGTGGAGGAATTTTGTAGTCGCCGTGTTTATGCCTTGACGACGTAATGCCTGGTCCACGCGGCTCAATTGGGCTTTGTAGAGATCCGCCGTGACTCTTTGGCCCAAATCTGATGTGGCACCCATTTTCCACACCGATTCGTCTTACCAGTTGAGTGCAAATGGCGGAGAATGGTTGTATGGTCGCAGTCAAACGGCTCTGCAAGCTCCCAGTTGTTTGGCATGGATCCGATTCGATAGCGTTTTTCAACTGATCGTTGTCGATAATTTGAGGCGGATTCCCGCGTTTTTCGTCTTCCAAACTTTCATCACCGTCTCGGAAGCGCTCCGGAATCAAGTCCGGAAAAAACGCTTGACGTTCGGACAACACGTCATCGCCAAATGCTTTGCACAGAGCACGATGAGATTCCGCAGCCGTTCTGCCTTGTTTAAAATCATACAACAAGCAAAACCGCACTCGAAATTTTTGGTTAACCATTTTCTAGAAGCTAAAAATTACTTCAAATTAATTAAAACGCATGAGTCCTAGATATCAAAAGGCGCGCAAAGAGACGCTCTTCCAGATAGACAAATATATTCAATAAAAACTTTTATTAGGTCCAAAATATAAACAAATAAGTGTGACGAAAGATTCACCTGCACCAACCCAATAATACAATTGTTAAGGTTCTAGACTTTAGCCAGTAAAAAATCTAAAAACAGTTCTAGAATTTATTCAATAAACCAATAGTTGATTAGAAAATCCCTGTAAATCGTCATTTTATAGCTAACCCATCTGGAATGACCTCACAGCATCAAGAGCATCCACAAGCGATAACCTATCACCAACCAGGGTCACGATCGAATCAAAGAACTGACTCTGGCCAAGAAATGGATCAATTCAGAGATCGAGTCGGGGGAATGCAAAGCGATTTTCACTCTTCGACGGTCTAAATAAATTTTTGATTTCATTATTTTGGATGTGAGAAAACGTTAGTCGATTCGATCCATTTCATTTTTCTTGTATTGCTTTCAAATGTTTCAATTCTGTTTTTAGCTGAAAATATTTCAAGATGAGCGATCAGGACAAGAATTTATCGGTAAATGACTATTTAAACAAAAATTGAATTCATTTTAGGTTTTACCTACCATTGAGGAATTGGCTTTGATGATTGATGATGAGGAATTGAGACAGGAAACATTGTTGCTGGTGAGGGGAAAAGTGGATTCAAATAAAGATTGCTTCAGGAAATCATTGATGGCCAGTCAAAGAAAGCGATGGAAATTGAGCAAAGTGCGAAAAGTGACGAGTTGTTGAATAAAGTTCCAACTCTTGGAGAAGTTTCAACGACTAGAGACGCATCTCTTGGTGCTTCAACTGTGGTTATGAGGTGAGGCCTCAGGAAATATAGTGAGACATCATCGACTATAACCGATTAGCATTCTTCTATCTGGACTCTAGGGTCTGTAAAACCAATCTGATTGTAAGACCAGGCCTTTGGGATTGCATCGTTAGAACAAAACTTCAAAGCAGGTCAAAAAAGCCAAAATATTCTCGTCATTTAGTGCTTCATTGCCAATCAACTTTCCACGTCCCAACTCACCAGATAGGTTCAAAGAGAAAAAGGAAAAAGAAAGTGCTGAAACTTCTCTGGAACTCTGGAATCATCGACCACCGCCTTGTTACAAACCTTTTTTCATCCCTGGCACTCACAATCCCCAAACCGCAACGCAAACCCTCGCAAGAAGTTGAATTGAACAATCAAAGGAATATAGTGGATGTTTTGGGAATGGAAAAGACAAGACCAAGATTCGAAGCTGACCAAAAGGAAACAACCTATGCCAATGAGACTCTAGTAGATTCACGAAGGTTTGTTAAAGTCAGCGCTTTGACGGTACTTCTACATCTTTGCAACGCATTAATATGCAAATTGATCTTTGATTTCTTACTCTATATTGAATTTCAGCATATTTTTCCTAGATTTTACATAGTTTTTGAATAAATTTGAGCTAGAATGAATGAAGATAAACCTAATAAAGCCATTTATACTATTTTCCGAGTACCTTTCCCCAACTAGAGACAAACTGGAGAAATTTACATTTATCTTAACGGGAAAACGACGCAAAAGTCCCACTTTAGAAGATCATAGTGAAAACAAAAAGCAAAGCAAGTGACCAAAATATTCTTGTCATTTAGTGCTTCATTGACAATCAACTTACCACGGCCTGACTCACCAGAATACGGTTTAATTTACAGCTAATATTGTCATAAACATACTTCAGATGAAATCTCCGACACAGAGATCGACCAATATGTCTCGAAACCTCTAGAAGAGGACGCTGTCCACGAGATGGACTTCAAGTTCCGCGTTTTGAAAAGAACTCTAGAGGTTGAGCCAATTTTGTGAAAGAAAAGTTGCGTTTCAGCAAATCGATGACAGAAACGAAAAGCAGAGACATTTCGAAGCGATCTACCAGGAGTATGCGGTGTGGTGTGAGATTCGAATCGACCCGATAGTCATGATGTACTTTGTGCACAAATTTCACACCGAGTGCGCCCTGTACATGCTGCAACACTATGGAATTCACGTCGATGTTCGGCGATACGAGGTTTGTGTTTATTAAGCACTCAATGCTAGGTTTTTTTGAAAAAATCAAAAATGTGAAACATTTGCTCAAATGAATATTGTTTATTATATCTTTAAATATTTTTGGATTCGTTGCGAATCCATTTCCGAAAATTGGTTTATTTTATCTTTAGAATGAGCTCATTCGTCGTACGGAGGACCCAAATTGGACCGACGCGCAAAAGCTCAAGCGCAAAGTACTGCAAAGACGGAAATCAAATGTGAGTTGATCAGATTTTGACCATATAGTGAAAACCGAATTTAGTCGACAAAGAAGAAAATTTGCGCGAAAAGGGTCGGAGACGTCTTCAACGAATTGTTGGCTGGGGTTGGTGCGAGATTTGCTAGCTTGGTAACATTTAGAGTAGTGGTCAAAAGTTTGGACACACCCATTGGCGCGAACTTCAAAGGCTGTCATCTCGCCGTAGTTAATGTTATTCAAAAAAAACAGTTAATGTTATAACTAAAAACTTATTCTGTGTCATTTTTTTGCCTAGTTTTTCAACTCATCGTAGGTTATACGTTCATTTCGCCTTTTTTATATGTATTTCTTTTCATTTGTGGAGCGATGAAAGCAAGTTTAACATGTGAAAAGTCGAGACATTTTAAACTCAAACCTACTTTGACATGCTCGCAACAATTTGGAGGATGGCTGGATTTTCATGCAAGACAATGACCCAAAACACAATTTTTGAATCGTTCAGAAATGGTTAGAAGAAAAAGGAATCAATATATTGAAGTGGGCAGCTCAAAGCCCAGACTTGAATCCACTTAAACCTCTTTGGGGGTATTGGATTGCCGAATTCGCTTAAAAGCATGCACAAAAATATCAGAGCTGATGGAGGGAGTCCACGACGAACAATACGGTACAGATTTCATTCCACTGTTTTCTAACAGCACGTTGGCGGGTTTTAATCGAATTGATGCCGGTGAATGTCAGCCTGTAATCGCTGCTAAAGGCTTCCCAACTAAATATTAAGACTTATTATTTTTAAGGCAATAAATTTCGTTATTTCATATTTCATAAACGTGTTCAAACTCTTGACCATCTCAAAAACAAGGTTATTTCAAGAAATGCATATAAAAAAAGTGAAAAGACAATGAACCTATAAACTAAAATGAGTTGAAAAATAAGCAAAAAATGACACAGAATAAGTTTTCAATTAGTTGAATAACATTAACTAGCGACGAGATCAGAGCCTTTTAATTTCGCGCGGATGGATGTGTTCAAACTTTTGACCACTACTGTACATCATCGATTTGCCACAAGTCAATAGTCGAAAATGCTAGAACATACTTTCCTGAAATTAGTTCGAAACTTTTGAACTTTTAGGAGTTTCCCAATGTGGTCGAGCGTGACTCATTCAGCATTGCGAAAATCTCGGCACTCATCGAATGCTCGAAAAGTAAACGCGACGTTTTCTCGAGGACTCTTTGCAAGTATGACAAATATGGGGAATTGCCTGGACTGCTCGAGAAAGTGCTCGTCAACAACTGGATTTCTTTCTTTTACTGCCTGGTAAGTCGATAACTACCGGTACAACTAATCAATAAAACCATACCAGTCTGTATTCTAGCCAGAATTATTTCAAAGACATTTTCCGTTGTCACTTTTTCATGCTTACATGAATAAAGTCTTGATATAAAAGCGATTTTTCCGGGCCTGGCCTGGTTTGACTTCGCTACGTTCTGAGGACTAGTTGCGGCTGACATTGGCCTAGCTTAAATCTGGCCTGGCCTAGTTTACAGCCCTAATGATAGATTTTATATTCAAAACCATGACAAGGAGCTTGACAAAGAAATCCACTTTTCAGCCACTCAATGGCTTCGGCGAGTCGGACACGCTGAACGAGTACGAACGAGTACACAGAGATCTTCCGTTAAATGTTCCGCCCAGCACCCACATCACTTTCCTGAGCGATATAAAAGAGTGGTTCATCCACATGAAAAATGTTTTTTGTTTTGTAAAAATAGTTTCCAAGAATTCAATTCAGAGGCGAGAACGGGAAGAACGGGGGCGAAGAGGAAATGAGGAGAGACAACGAGAAGCCGAGATATTGAGGAAGCGGGAAGATGAGAACAACTCGAGGAAAAGGTTCTCTTTGCTGGAGCCTGGAAGTATCTTCTACAGGCTTCTACAGGCTACAGGCAAGGGTTTGGAGGAAATGACTTAATAACTAACATTGTTGTTTTATATAAAAAATCAAATAAGCCTGCCCTCAGCTTTTGTTTTGAAATGACACAATCGCTGAAAAATCTGCAGACAGTTCTAAGCCAGTAATCCAATATTTGATAAGAAAATCTTTGTAAATCAACATTTTATAGCTAGCCTCTTTGGAATGACCCCCGCCGTATCGAGGGCATCCACAAGCGATTAACCGTCATCAACAAGGGTCACGATCGAATCGAAGAACTGACTCTGGCCAAGAAATGGAGCTATTAAATGATCTTTAATAAATTTTTGAGTTCATTTTTTGTGGATGAAAGAAAACGATGGTCGATTCGATTTTTCTTGTATTTATTTCAAAGTTTCAATTCTGTTTTTAGTTAAAAATATTTCAAGATGAGCGATCAGGACAAGAATTTATCGGTAAATGACTATTTAAACAAAAATTGAATTCATTTTAGGTTTTGCCTACGATTGAAGAATTGGCTTTGATGATTGATGATGAGGAATTGAGACAGGAAACAATGTTGATGATTGAAGAAGTAATTTCGAGAGGCAATTGGAAAAATTTGGAAGAGGAGATAATGGTGAGGGGAAAAGTGGATTCAAATAAAGATTGCTTTAGGAAATCATTGATGCCCAGTCAAAGAAAGCGATGAAAATTGAGCCAAATGCGGAAAGTGACGAGTTGTTGAATAAAGTTCCCACTCTTGGACAAGTTTCAACGACTAGAGACGCATCTCTTGGTCCTTCAACTGTGGTTATGAGGTAAAGGCTTGAAAATATAGTGAGATATCATTGGCTATAACCGATTAGGGTTGTTCTATCCGGACTCTAGGGTCTGTAAAACCAATCTGATTGTAAGAACAGGCCAATTTTGGCATAGCATCGTTAGAACAAAACTTCAAAGCGGATCAAAAAAAGTTTTCTGTTTTCTGACGAGAAGCTCTTCTCGGCGGAGCAAAGCTACAACCACCAAAACGACCGGATTTAGTCAACGTCCTCTCCAGGCAGCTCTGCGATTGTTCAACACCGACAAAATCCCAAATCGGTCATGGTATGGGCCGGAATTTGCGCAACCGGCAAAACTCCTCTCATTTTCATCGATTCTGGGGTAAAAATCAATAAGGATGTGTACCAAAAAAAGATTCTTGAGGATTTTTTGCTTCCATGGGCTCTACAGCATTTTGGTAACGGATTTTGGACCTTCCAACAAGACGCCACTCCTTCTCAACGAGCCAAATCCACACAGGACTGGTGTAGGACAAACTTTTCGGATTTCATCTCGGCTCAGGAATGGCCTCCGTATTCGTGCGATCTCAATCCGTTGGACTACAGTGTTTGGTCAATTTTGGAGGCGAGGGCTTGTGCAAAACCCCACAAAAGTTTGGAGGCCCTTAAGCGATCGTTGACCAGGGAATGGGATCGAATCACTCCGGTCGAGCTGCGGCCCATCGCCGAAAACTTCATCAAGCGTCTGAGGCTCTACATCTGGCCAAAGGTGGCCGCTTTGAAGAAATGTAGATTTTATGCTCTCTTTATATCATGTTATTAATAGAAAATTGTTTCTGTTAGAAAATCTTTTTGGATTTTTAAAAAATAGGCTAAATTAGACCGTAACGTTATTTCTGGTCACCCTGTAATAGTTATAGACTAAAAGTAGCTTAATGACGTCGAAAACTGAATGAAAATCCAAAAAACACACACCCATTTTTGAGCTTTTGTGAATTTGGGTGTAGCTAGGTCGCAGAAAAGAATTTTAGAGGGCCATTGAAAAACAGAAAAGTCTGCTCTTCTATTAGAATGTTTACAGTAGGTTTAGGTCACCATCTAGAAGTACCACTACCACTACTTCACTGTCTATGAGAACTTTATCAGTTTCCGAGCGATCTCCCTCTCCAAAATATGGTAGCATTCAGCTTTGAATGGGTAAAAGGAAGTTTTAGATGAGATTTCCAACACAGAACTTGATGCGATTGTGGAAGATCTGAATAATGAAGCGCTAACTGAAATGAATCACAAAATTGGGGTGTTGAAAGTGATTTGTGAGGTGAGTCAAGTCTTGTTCTAGACCTTGTAACTAAAATTTCAGCAAGTGTCCGACAAAGACGAGAAACAAAAACATTGCATTGCCTTGTACGAAGAGTACATCACATGGTGTGAAGCTCGAATTGATGCCCAAATGGTGATCCACTTCGTAAACAGATTCCATGACGAGTGTTCTGCATATCTGCTGCTATACCATAAAATTGAAGTCAACATTAAACGATATGAGGTTTCATAAAGCTTTTTATAGAGGTTTATTCGGGTTTTGGAAAGTTCTCAAATCTAAAACAGATTTAAATGAACTATTTGATGGTTGGGAAATTGAAATCAGTAACAAATTTAACTTCAGGATGAGCTTCTTTGTCGAAACGATAACTCGCAACGGACAGATGCACAAAACCTCAAGCAAAAAGTGTTACGAAGAAGGAAATCAAATGTGAGGTTCAAGAAAATTTCCCAAATTTCTTCATTCATATTAGGATTTGATCTAAAAAGTTAAGTTTAGCCATTAAAGAAGTGCCTCTGTTCGCAGAAAGGGGAGCGAGTGTTGACAGAGCTTTTGAAAGAGGTTTGTCAATCGATCTCTTGGTGTAAGACGGAAAAATTTAAGGATTTCGAAAAAGTGATTGGATCGAAGAGAATCACAGATGAAGAAATTGCAAAACTTATTGAATTGTCGAAGAGTCGATGGGAATTCTTCTTCTCAACTCTGCAAAAGTATGACAGATATTGTGAGCTTCGCGAATTGATGAATCGAATCTTCGTAAAACAATGGATTGACGTCATTTCTCTGCTGGTGGATTCAAAGTTTTTCGAAATCTCAACTTACATATTTAGCCAAATCAGGGCTTTGCTCAAGCGGACGTTTTAAATCACTATCGAAACGCGTGTGATACGTTGGAGCTCTCCATTCCAAACGAAAAACATTCGACTTTGATCACAGTTTTGGAGGAGTATTACAAGCACAAGGTAAACTAGATTTTTGCTTACTCTGTGCTGTTTTGCTGGGTTGGTGAATTGAAAACTGCGGGACTTTGAACTAAAATTTATTCAACATAAAACCATCAATTCATTCCAAATAATTTCCATTATTATTGACGACTTCTGTCCATTTTAGAGGCAATTGGCGGATGCCTCTTTCGTGGTAGGATTTTGGTTTGTGTGTGAGACAAGTGTGAACCTCTAGACAGAGAAATCTATTAGTCTAAACGGTGTGAAGAGTATTTTTTGTGAAGTTTATTACCCGTGCCTAGTTCTAGAAACTATTTCTACCCAGAAATGTATCTAGCAATATTTTTTAAAGAATTTAAGAGAAAGAGCGAAGAACTAAAAAGAATCTAACGAATACGATTGCAGGAAGAGGAAAGAGTCCTAGAAGAATTGCTAAAGAGAGCTACAACGAGTCAAGAAGCCAGGAAAAGCCAAACTTCCGAGTTTTACTATTAAACAATGAATGTTTATTTACTTCGTTTTCGAAATTCCAATTACAGGGTGCGGTCAAAATATTCGGTGGTATACATATTAGCACAAATCTCTTGGGCACAAATCCTCATCTGAAATCTCCTGGGGTCGTGCACGAGTGCACGAGGTGTTGTTGTGTTTAGTCAAAAGGTTCACTTGAAAACTGGCGAAGCACTTGGAAGACGATTGATCAAGTGATTGAAAAAAGACCGCATAAAATGGTCAATCAAGAATGGCAGCAACCAAAGGAGAGGAGTTATTCGGTGAAATATGGCAGTCCAACCGTTTAGCACAACGTTTTTCATTAATAGATTTTGACTCTGTAATCAAATTTTGTAATAAAGTGTACAGTTTCAGAGAAGCAAAGTTTATACACGCATTTATATCAGCAAAGTATTTCGATAAGAAAACTTGGGTACACCAGAGTCATAGATTTTTCTAATCATTGTTAATCCAGATTCTCACCTCCATCCGAATTCTCGCCTCATTCCTTTCTTTCTTTCAGTTCGTCACTTTTGTAGAATGTCGATGTCTAGAATGAGAAACTTCTTTGCTAATGAAAAAAAGCTTTAAAGCAAAGCCTTAAAGCAAAGACTTAAAGCATTTTAAAGACTCTACCCTCTCGGCTCCTCGTTCATTTCGATCCTCTTCGCGGTTTCTCTCTTCTCTCTCGTTGTCAGCTCTTCGTTGCTACAATTACATTCAATTTATTGATGCAAAATTGCATAGGAATGCTTTATCTAATCATTGTTAACCCAGATTCTCACCTCCATCCGAATCCTCGCCTCATTCCCTTCTTTATCGATTCGATTCGCCTCTTCTTGTGCTTCTCTCATTTCTTTTCGTTGCCGCTCTTCACGCGCGTTTTCAAGTTGTCTAAAAGCGTTTAATAAAAGCGTTTCATTTGTTTAATTCAAGTTTTAATTGAATTTTTTGAAAGTGCGTCTGTTCATTCGTCTGTTCATTTTTTGAAACTGTTGCGTCTGTTCATTCATTTGTTTAAGCAGGAAGAATATTGGATTCAAATCGTTGCTCTTCGCAGCTGCCTCTCGTTTGCGTTTTTCTTCATCTGAAAAAAAACTTCTAATCAAATTTAACTAATGCTGCAGAAAAATGTTCAAATTTTTGTTTTTGATCAAATTCTCCCCAAATACCGTTGCATCACGCAAAATTCTTTTTTTCGCAAAATTTCAAATTTTATGGAAATATCGATTTCTTTGTTAAAAATTGTCATTTTGGAGCTTTTTTTTATTTGTGATCGCTATTGCGCAAGAAAAATACCCTTTTTCCTTTTTTTTCTCAATTGATGACCTTGAACTGAGTTTAAATCCTATTTTTTGTTTTGAAAAAGTTTCAAATTATGCTTTTGATTTACTATTAATTAAACTATTTATCTAGTTATCTATTATTTAATAATTTTATTTGGTTTACTATCTATTTTTCTATTATCTAATAGATAAATTTGGGCTCTTGTGTAGTTTCCGGGTATTTTGAATGGGTCGTCTGACTTTCAACGCCTATAACTTTAGCCAGAGATGATATTATGGCTAACTTTTTATATCATTGGAAAGAAGACATTTCAGGCTTTTAAATGATACTAAAGAGAGCTTGGCTAGATTTTTCCTTCCCATGCAAACAGGCGAAACGACACCGGAGTCGGATAGGCCTCATTTGCTCAGAGTTGGCTTTGATTTCTCTAGACTAGATTATCAAATCAAACTGTATTTGGTATCATTTGAAAGCCTGAAATGTTCTCTGTACAATGATATAAAAGGTTAGCAATAATATCATCTCTGGATAAAGTTATAGGCGTTCAAAGTCAGACGACCCATTCAAAATACCCAGAAACTACGGAAGAGCCTAAATTTGTACTTAGCATTTTTCATGGTACTTTTCAGTTACACTAAACTCTAAGCACACTCTTTCTAGGGCACCACAGTAAATTCAGTGCGCCAGGAAGGATGTATTTAGGGATATTTCGAGCACAAAATACAATACAGTTAAAGCCTTTACTTTCGGTTAAAATAGTTTGACTTTCACTGCTTCTGGTGTACTTTGTGCTCAACAGAATGTAAACGCACTCTTGCTAGTGCACTGAGCTCTTTAATATACTTTGCATTGAGCTTTAAGATGCTAAACTCAAGAATAAGACAAATTCCAGAATTCAATGTGAAAAATGGACACCAAAAGATCACAAAATGGACACAAAATAAATTCAATTCGTTTCCACTTTGATCAAGCAAGTTATTGGACGTTAAATCGAATAAATAATAAAATTAGAATAGAATTTAATGAATTCAATTCAATGAATAGAATAAAATGAATAGAATTCGATTTCTAGATGGAAGAAAACGAGCTGAAACCCTTGGTGACTTTCAAAAACAATCGGATTCAATTCAACGACAGTATTGCTCGAGAGACTTTCGCCAATGAGAAATTCAGTGATAAAAAGGTTTTAGAATTGACTTTCTCAGTGTTTTAAGAAGGTAAAAGATATCAGGATTAGCATTAGAGCAAAGATTGATAGCCTCTCTCGGAAACGAGACTCTTATCCACGACACCATCAGATTCCGAGACGGTGAAAGAAGCCTTATACAGGGAAAGAAGTCATTTTTGAGCTCTAAGGCAGGTCCAAGCCTAGCATCTAGCTTTGACTAGCCTGGTCTAACTGTAGACGCAAGGCTCCTCCGGCTTTGACTATGCAAAGTATAGAAGCCTGGCTTGGACCAGCCAATAGTAATATTAGCTTCTTCTGGAAGACACAATTGTACCATTCCTAGTTGTAACTCCAAAATTATTGCTTCAGATCACTTTGGTCAGCGTAATGGGACCATCGCGATACGGCAAAAGCTTTCTGATGTCAATTTTGACTGGTGGGCGACAAGGAAACACAGTCAGGTCAGCTTTTAGAGTGCAATTCACCGACTTGACCTTGATTTCCTAAAAATGTATCGATTTTGCTCCTTGTCTTTCGTTTATCTCCACTTTCTCGTTTATCTCCATCCACTTTTGAGATCCTTTGTGAACCATTGCAGAATCAGAATAAAAGTAGAGAGATTGGGTAAACTAGAGATAAGATTACGGTAATTTTCTAGCTGAAGACGATCTACAAGTTAAGAGGTTCTTGTGACTGCTGCGCCACTTTGCTTAGGATAATTAGCATTTAAATTAGCCGACTTTGTTCAGTATGTTTAGCATTTAAATTTCTCCACTTTGCCCAGTGTAATTTGTATTTAGAGTTCTCCACTTTTCTCAGCAAATTTGCATTTAAACTTTCTCACTTTGCTCTGCATAATTTCCGTCCAAAAGAAGCAATTTCCATTTAATTTTATGATCTTATCGCAAAGAATAAATGAGTCTAACTCGTCGAGGATGTAGTGGTATGATAATAGTATGCTAAATCAGTTAAGAGATCAAAAATGAGTGGCGTAAGAGTCACACGTTCGCCACAAGACTCTTACGACACTCATTCCTAAATGCAAATTGATTTTCAATACAAAGTGAGCAGCGTAAGAGTCACACAAATACCAGTTAAGAGCCATTTTTGACTTATAGAGGAGCCTTCAAGACCGGTTATGAGCGGTGCACGGAGGGGATTCTCGTTTTCACTCAACCGATGTTTTCTGAAGATGTGAGTGAGACTTAGATTTAGAGTAAGGTCGATAAATCAAAGTTTGAATTGTGGATTGCGCTTTTGCAGAACTTTTGAACCTTTAATTCGTTCAGAAATGAACTCTGTAACTCTCTAATTCGTTCAGAAATGAAAATTCTGGCGCTGAAATGATTTCTGAGCCAAGGAAATGGATAAGAGAGAAATTGTGACGATTAAAATTACATAGATTTCAGGGAAATCATGTGGTTTTCTTTTTGGATACTCAAGGGACATTTGATCTACAAACGGAGAGGAATATCTTCTCATGGATTGCTTGTTTCAGTCTGTTGATCTCGGATATTCTGGTAATGCTTTAGGGAATTGACCAGCCCGGGTCAAACCGTACTAATTGCAAGCCAGGTTGGATTAGAATAAGTCAGGCTCAATTTAGAATTAGATCAGAACCAGTTCCATGTTACTATAAGTCATGTGAAGACTAGCTCAGGTTAAAGCCAGACTAAGACCAGACCAAAATCGGATCATGCTTTGGCTTAGACCTTGACTGGTCTAGGTCAGACCAAACCAGGCCAGACTAAATCTAGATAGAACACAAAGCTATTCAATGGACTAGAATCAGGATCAGGCAAGAATTAGGCTCAAGACTGGCCAAGTGTAATCCCACCAACTCGACTCGACCAGGTTAGAGGCAGGCTAAGGCCAGACCAAAGTCGGGCCATGCCTTGGCTTACGCTTCGCCTTAGGTTTGACCAAACCTAGATAGGACTCAAAGCAGTTCAAGGCTAGGATGGGCCAGGCTAGAATCAGACAATGACTAGCCAAGTTTATTCCCGTCAGCATTAAACCAAGTCAAAGTTGTGGTTCATAATCTTTTACACTTTTCAGCTCGTGAACTTAAAAGGAAACATCGGCGGTGACAACCTTCACGATTTGCATTTGTTTATCGAAACGGCTGGAGCTTGTCCAAAGACTGAACTAGCAAAAGTATCGATATAAACATCGCTGTACCTGGCTTTTTAGAGTTTAACTTTCGTGATCAGAGATGCACCAAAATGGACGGAGAACAGTTTTCTCGATAGGCTTTGGGTGAGTGAAAATTCTATTTTCGAAATTTCGAGATTTAGATAGAATGCCAAAAGTCGAGAGATCTTAAAGAGATCTCTGAATCGTTGCAAAAACGTTTTGAGAATCGAATCGATTGTTTTTGTTGCGCGACCGCATCGGATGGGATTCAGCGGGCAACGGGGACGATCGAGTTGACGGATGAGGGTGAGTAGCTGCAGGCTGTTATTTCTTGCCATATTATTTGTATTTAAATTAATTATAGACTGTAATTTCTTGCTAGATAATTCGTATTTAGATTAATGAGTTT